ACGCATATCTGAATCAGCCTCACAGAAATGGACTCTAAATACACGTAACTTTCCCCATGTAAGTATCGACAATAAATAGTGGCCGTATGTGCTGAGAAATGAAGGGACTGAAAATGAGTGTATATCATAAACACACACTGGTGACGTGAAATGCTTCAAAGTTGACCTGCATTGCATTGAGCAGAATGTTTTCTATTTGTTAGATTAAGAGATTCATCAAAGCCTCCATAAAAGAATGGCTCTGATGTTGATCTGGATCAGTGGTATAAGCATTACAAAACCCAAATATCGCGATAACAATCAACATACAGTACTGTGCAGAAGTCTTAGGCACATGCAAAGAAATGCTGTAGAGCAAAGATGCCTTCAAGAATAATGAAACTAAATGTTTCTACATTAAAAAAAATACCATAAAGAGCAGTAAACAGTAATAAATGAAACAAAGTCAATATTTGGTGTGAAGATCCTTCGCTTTAAAAAAAAAAAAGTAGTCTCGGGTACAATGTGTGCAGTTTTATAAGGAAATGAGCTGTAAGTGTTACTGAGCATCTTGCAGAAGCAGCCACAGTTCTTCTGGAGATTTTGACTGTCGCACTTGCTTCTTGTTATTGCAGCAAAACCCAGCAGCCTTCATTATGTTTTTTTTGTCTGGAAAGTGTCTCTTATGTAATCTGCTGCTTTCTTTACTGACATACAAACATTTTTCTGTAACATTTAATTTTGTGCTGGAAAACTAATGCTTGGAAATCTAAAATGTTTTTGTACTGAATCAATAACGTAGAAGTCATAAAATAAAAATCTATAACAACGTTTGTACTAAAAAAAATAGACTTTTGCACAGTACTGTATATCGTGCAGCCCTACGTCACTAAAATCTCTCACCATGTTCTTTTCATTTCCGGCCCATTTCTTGAATATCTGTAACGACTGGCCAGCGTGCAACATCCCCGGAGTAGCGAACACCACCTGAAACATACAGACCCGGATTTACAGATCAGCACAAAGGCTTTCATTCTTCCTTTCATTCTATATATTAATTAAAAAAATCATATCATACCATGGGTCCGGGATTGTCTGCATAGGAGCGATCGAAGGCTTTGATGTGTTTGAACTCGAACATGTTCCTCTGCACGAAGGTTTTGCGAATCTTCTGATTGGTCCATGTTATGAAGAGTTTGTAGTAGTGGTTTGCTTTCTCCGTCAGGCCCGTGGAGAAGTATATGGGTGCTTTCAGATTCATTCTCTCCCTGTTTAAAAAAAAAAACACATGTTGCTTATACGGATTAGAAACAACTTTAGCTTCGGAGGTCAGATATTTACAGCTAATTATTATCATGTTAAAAAATGGTTCATTATTCATGGTTCATTATTCATAACATTGTATATAATTACCAGAAATTTCTCTCTTGTTAAAGATCAGCTACCCAGATACACCCATTCATTTAAAAAATAAACCACCGGGGTTTTAGGGGGATTCCTGTATTTAATGTTTTGACATTTCATAATTACAAAAGTGTTGTGTGGGCATAAAGCCAGACTGCTTCACTGCTCACCAGAACGTTTCCAGAAGGATGCAGAGCTCCTGAGCTCTTCCCAAAGCAAACACTGGAATGAGGACCTGTCAAATCATTAAAAAAAATACATAAAGCACATAGTGTATACAGTGACGACCATGCGATTGCTCGTGTATTTACGTTGCTGTTCTGACCTTGCCTCCTCTCTCAATGGTCTCGTGCACCTTCTTTAAGAAGTCTCTCTCTCTGCAGCGCTTCGAGTCGCGGATCGTGGTGGCGTAGGTCGACTCGGTGATCAGAATATCTGGACGACATTTGTCAATCCAGGCCGCTCTGGAGAAAATTATTACAATGTTCCGTTAGGTATGACTTGTAATTTTCCCCCACTATTACAAATGAATAAACTACTCACCCTAAGTGTCTGTCTGGTGTCATGTTGTAATCACCCTGCATAAAGACAAGTTAAAACGTACACTTAGTGGAAACACACACAGTCTGAAAAGCCAGAAAGACTCCGCATATCAGCTATGTGATATACGGTGTATGTTTGAGATGATCGATGATATTGGAAATGCTATTTAAAAGTATATAACCCAGTTGCTCTAAGTCTATATTGAAGATGAGATATTAGAATCAGAGATGAATCCAAGATTCATCACACCTCCCCATCATTGATTATTTTCCTACAACAGCACAACCCAATGTGTTTTATTCCTCACTTAATAGACAAGTTTGAAAACAGCAGACCATTTAGTTGTGTGTAAATGTTTTCATAGACCAAACTGAACTAAAATGTTTTGGTAATGCTGATTTGGTTAGGCTCGCATGCATATTTTGATAAAAGCCAATCACCTGTAAGTGACCAAATGCATTCGTGGTACAGCTGATATACGTTTGGTGACGCTCATAAAACTCCATAAAAGTCAAAGCTCAGGGAGCTGAATCATGAATGATGTCGACTAAACGGTGAAAAAGTGCCTCCTAAATGTGGCGTGCACTAAAGCTTCCACACTAAGGAGTCCTCCTTTTATAGGGCGCAATTACTTTTGTCCTAATTGAATGGCTAGAGTTTACCTGTCTGTATTTAGGGATTTCTTTTGGATTGCTTTCTTTCAAATCACAAAATATTCATTTAATTTGAGCGTGTAATTGAAATAAATTAGAGATTTAAACTTGACAGCGCAATCTGTGTATAAAATTGCGCAACCCATCGCCAATTATGTGATTTGAAACTGATCAAAGTTTACATTAGTGAGTCTCCTTAAATTAAAAATTTTTACAGAAATTGACAAACTCAGGGGATATGAACATTTCCCTGAACTACCAGGATTTCCCTGAATATGACATTACTTGAGTATATGCTCCTGCAAACAAATAAATTTGCTCGTATCCAGTTTAATAAATGAGATCCATGGTTTGCTTAGATACATGTTTGTGCCTAAATCTTACTTAACACATGGTCACTAGTTTGTTAGCATTAATGATGTAATATGGAAATATGGTGTCCCACATGGTTCTATTTTAGGCCTCCTATTGTTCTTTTTTTTTTATTTATATATATCCTGCACCTTGTTTACCACTTCTGTGCTGATTCATATCTGATTCATCCATGAATAAATAAACATAACATTATAAAACAGGCGTGTAGCGCTCACCGTGTAGACGACGGACTCAGAGCCGACTTTAATTAGCACCATTGCCGCCCCGAGGACGTGTCCTGCATAGTAGGCTTTGATCTCGAGCTCATCATCCACCTATGAGAGAGAAAGTTTACAAAACAAGACCTCAGTAACACTTCATGTTCATTGCTGTCATTTTTTAATGATGTTTCAAATAGTACAGTGCTCTATGTGTTACAAATCATAAATATATTCACCAAACACATTTGGAAATGAGCTTTAACGTGACCCACGCAGTGTTTGATGGTACCCACCTGAACGGTCTGGTGCAGGTTCAGCGGCACCACTTTCTTCATGCAATCTTTGATCATCTGTGAGGTGAAGAAGTTGGTTTCGCCCTTTTTGTCCACTGTGATCTTGCGGAAGTCCTCCAGCAGGATGGGGCAGATGGCTTTGGTGGGGTGGGTCATGTAGATCGGTCCTTCATATCCCACCATCTCACTCATGTAGGGAAGAGCTCCGCAGTGGTCCAGATGGAAATGGCTGGAGGTACAAGACGAGAGGAATTTAGACTGAATCAAAATAACATAATACCACAGCTTTGATGATTCTTGATTCTCATTGATCAGAATTTTCTCTACAGTAGTTTCTGACTGTAAGATTTTCAATAACACTCTCATTCTTATACATGACCATAACAACATGCACAAGGACTTATATAGCAGCTGTGCCATATAAACAAATAAAAAAACAAATTGATATGGTGAAGTTTTCTGTGAAGAGATGTTTATCATTTTTTGGAAGGAGTCTCCAGTGTCAGAGCTTTGTAACAGTGCTAGAGGTGTAGTTTTCCACCACGGGCAAGTCTTAAAGTCTTCAGGACGGAGAGATTTAGGATAGAATGATTGGTTATAGCTGTTAGTGATGGTGATATAAGTGACAACAGGAACGAAATTGTTTTGAAGACATTCCACAACATGAAATGTAACTATGTCTCATTCCTTAAATAATCAATATGTAATCAATGACACATTGCTGTGATGTATATATATATATAATGTACACACACACACACACACACACACACACACACACACACAATCCCCCCTCTCTCTCTCTCTCTCTCTCTCTCTCTCTATATATATATATATCTATATATATATAGATAGATAGATAGATAGATAGATGTGTGTGTGTGTGTGTGTGAGAGAGAGAGAGAGAGAGAGAGAGAGAGACAGACTCAGTCCTCAGTCACTTAATCATGGGGCAAGTACAATTGTTACGGTTAATAATAATAATAATCATAATACTAATAATAATAATCATAATAATAATCATAATAATAATAATAATCAAACCTTATTATAACACAGTCCAAAAAGTCTGTGAGGCGGCCGTTCTGAGTGATGTAAGAGAAGTCTGGAAAGCGTCTCTAATAAGAGAAAATATGAAATCAGACTCAGATTAGACATTCAATTTAGATTGATGTCTAAATTCTGCGCCAATGTGAACAGATAAATCAGCAAAAAAAGGCAGAGTGTTCTGTTCAGTAACTTACATCATCATTATATCCCATATGCATCCCACAATCCAGCATTATGTTCTTGCCTCCTATAGAGAGCAGAATGCAGCTGCGTCCAACATCCTGTCCAGCACCTACAAAACAAAACATCAGCTAAACACTTAATATCTGTATCCTCAATAACTCCATGCACTAACTAGGGTGTATAAATTATGATTAGAAGCCATTATTCAGCCAAACAGTTGACAAATGACAAATGACACCACAGCACTGTTGAATTCTCAAATCTGATTGGTCAAAAGGTGTTGATTAATTTTCTATGTGTCAATAAAAAGTATTGCGTGGTCCTAGGAGGACTAGTGGTTAGACCACGGCGCTCTCAATGCCGTGGCCCGGGTTCGATTCCTGGCCAGGGAACCAACCCCAGGCACTGGGGTTGCACGTGACAGTGCACTCCCAGTGCCGGTCGCAAGCCCGGATAAAACTGGGGAGGGTTGCATCAGGAAGGGCATCCGGCATAAAAACTGTGCTAAATCAAATATGCAGACCAATAATCCGCTGTGGCGTCCCCTAACACGAGCAGCCGAATGAATAAGAAGAAGAACAACAACAACAACAATAAAAAGCATTATGTTGTTATTTGTTTAATAAAACATGGGAAACTGCTGTGGTATAAGAGGAATAAAACACTTGTTGCGACTCTGCTTGATGTCGGTCTGCATCCCACCGCCCTGTCGTTGATGATTTTTCTATTACAGCACGCCCCCAACATTATGAGCCAGACAGTATGAACACAGATCCATAGGAACCTAATGTGATACTGTATAACGTTAGAAACACACGGTTCTTACCCAGAGGCGTCACTTTGATGTCCGGCATCTTAAAAATAAAAAATATATATATAGTTTATATATTCTGGATAACTTTGTTTTAAAGCTGGGTGTATCTTTCTGGGTAAGTTAGCTAGCTGATAGTGAAACTTTGACTTGTGAAGTGTGCAAGCAAAGCTGCTTGCTGCACTGACCCTCACCTCAACTACATTTATAACTTAACCTCAAACCTCTTCAGGAAGACACAACTTCTCTAGTGTAATTTCTTCATAAAATCTTCATAAAAATGCAATTACTTTAGCAGAACATGCATACAAAGCATCAAAATATAAAAAGAAAATCAGCGGACATGATGTACAAATGCTGCGACCGCCAAAAACAATCCGATTGGTTAATTTTAACACGTGACACCATGGCTCACTTTAATTGGTGCACATCTTTCAAACCCGGAAGAATTCATACAACAGATTCGGATATGTGCTTTCTTTTACACCTGTATTCTGATTAATCCCGCCTTCCTCTTTCAAAAGCAGGCATTGATTGGACAGAATATTGACAAAACAAAAAACAGGCCAATCAGAGGAGGGAACCGTTTGTTAATCCGGAAGAAAGATAAGGAATACTGGTAAGGAAAATAATCCAACGCTGAAGTGAACCTGGTGATGCTTTATACAGCATTATTAGAGTAGCTACTTAGCTTATTAACTGATATGAATGATTTTGTATAGGTATTTTTTTTGTTTCTGACAGCTTAATTGTAAATAATAGTGTTCAGTGTTCAGTGTTTTTGTATTCTGACTCGTTAATTCCAAGGACAGGATTACCTAGATAACTAGAATAACTAGAAATGGCAGATTCTTTCAGTCTACGGAATGTTCTGGAAAACTTCAAGTCATGTCTCAGTGATAATAAGGAAGTCTACATAAAGTACTATATATCAGGATGGCGAGAGCTTGTGAGGTATGTGGTGTGCACCAAATAGTTTCCTCCTGTGCATTATTTTCATGTTATATTCAGTTATAGAGCATGTAGACTTTCATACATCTCAGTGTCTGAACTATAAAGTATTGTTTGTATTGTAAGTGTTTGTATACTTACACAGGAAAAAGCATTTTAGATATCATTCACCCATTTTGCCCTCAACCCTGACCAGCTTCACAGTGTCTGCTGATGAAATACATCTCCACAACATGAAGCAACCACCACCATGCTTCACTGTGGGGATGGTGAGCTGAGGCCGCTGAGCAGGGCTGGGTTTCCATCAAACATAGCACTTTGTGCCAGGTTGTATTTCTGCCTGATGTTGATTAGGCTCTGAATCCACTGCAACCCTGACCAGGATGAAGCAGTTACTGAAGATGAATGAAGATATTGCTTATAACAAACGGTGATGTAAACTGTGCATTTGTTTATACAGTATTGAGCAAAAGTCTTAGAAACATGTAAAGAAATTTAATAAAGCCAAGATGCTTTCAAAAATAATTAAACAAATGTTTTGGAAAGACCAATATTAATTCATTCATTCAACTTCAGTAATCACTTCATCCTGTGAACACTGGGTGCAAGGCAGGAAAACAACCTTAAATGGGAAACCAGTCCGTCGCAGGGCACCATCCATATATACATTGGAGGAATGTCATCATCTCATTTTGCTCGCAAACTGAAAATATGATATTTGCTTAATTATTAGATCAGCCAGATGTCTCTATGTTCTTTTCCCCTCTCCCAGCTTTATGAACAGCCTGGGAAGTGTCTTCTCCTTCATCTCCAAGGATGCAGTCAGCAAAATCCAAATCCTGGAGAACTTTCTGATGGGTGAGAATGGGACGCACTACCTCACCGTCCAGTCCATGGTGAAGTATGAGTTGGACAATGAGCTGGTGGATCTTACCAAACGAGGGAGCCATCCGGAGTCGGGCTGCCGCACGTTGCTGCGTCTCCACCGTGCCCTGCGCTGGCTGCAGCTCTTCTTGGAGAGTCTGCGCACCAGCACTGAGGACAGTAAGACCTCCGTCATGTGCTCCGAGGCCTATAATGCGTCGCTGGCGCAGCACCACCCGTGGATCATCCGGAAAGCAGCTGGAGTGGCGTTTTGCGCTCTGCCAGGCCGCGATGCATTCTTCGAGGTGATGAACGCAGGCAGCCACCAGGAGGTGGTCACACTGTTGGGAGAAGCTTTACCTCTGATCTCAGAAGTCTATCAGATCACAGAAGACCTGTATGCAAAAAACAAGCTGCTCGACTTACCCTAGAAGGTTCTGCACTACTTGACATATTCCATGGTTACTTGATATTACTGTGCGTTGTAGTGTATATATTCCTGCTATTCCTGTAACTTTCCAAATACACTGGGATTTGATCACAGTTTATTATTATAAAATTAAGAAATTTGAATGTAATCACATATATTTATTATTGGTTAAAAGGGATATATTGAATGTACCTGAATCACTATTCTGTGAAATATATTCAGCACAGTTATGACAGGCAGTATGTTTTACATATTTGAAATGTTAACCGTATGTATCTTAATGTACATTATTTTGTGCTGCTTCATGCTTGTACACCAGTGATGTGAATTTTTAAAAATTTTAGTTCTTTTTAGTGAGTTTTTAGTGAGTCAGATCATTTGACTCAGCTCACCAATCAGAGTCGACTCTTTCAATTCCCAAACGAATAATTGCCATTTTTTCTGAACTGGACAAAATTTCCAATATTATGAGCAGTGATTGTTTTTTCTTTGCCAGACCATGGCTGAAATGGATTAGTGAAATTGTACTCTACCTATTAAACCCATGTGAATAATCCTAAATCAGCAAAATTCTACAAAAACACACTGATGAAAACAGTAAGGATCCATGTATTGGTATTGTCCCCTGTTGTGTCTGTGGTCCATTATAAAGATTTATTTCCATTTATCCTGATAACCAATTGCGTCCACCTAATAAACTATAATGAACTTACCTCTACACACAGCTGCATAGCTGAGAGCCAAACACACGAATCATTTGGACAAACGAACAGATTACAATTTGAAAAATGGTTTTCATGGAAGCAGTGGTTCATTGGCAGTGGAATATAATATGGCAGTTATATCTCAACATTCACCTAAAAGAGTCGATTCAGAGTCGACTCACTCGTAAATGATACATCACTCATTCTACACCATTATTCATGTGTAAATGTTTATGTATGTAATCAAAGTTGAAAACAATGGATGTTATAGATATTTGCACATCTTACTTGACCAAATAACCAAACAGAAAATAAATCACACCTCAACCAGTCACAATCTTGTTAGTTTTGTTGTTTAATGTTGGGTGTTCACATCACAGATATGAAAATGAATGTAATGCAGAGACAGGTCAACAGCACCACCATTAAATAAAAAAAAAAAAAAGAACTCATTGAATGAATTTTTATTTAGAGCGTCAGAAAATATCTCACATCTATAACAAAGCAGGTTTTGTCAAAATATGTTTCATATAAAGCAAGTTATAGCTAATGATAACAGGGTAGGCAAGTGTTTCTCTATAGACTTGTATTGATATGGTCCTTTCCAATATGGCGGACGCGTTGTCGTGTCGCGGTAGTTAGCAACAGGGGCTAATGAGGCGTCCTAGCAAAACAGCGAACTAGCCTAGCGTGCGACTGACGCACGTGAGCCGTTGCCAAGGAGACGTTACTGTGTTGGCAACTTGAATGACGCCACCGAAAATGTCCGCGTGCGTAATTTTATCACCCAGCGACAGAATAAAGCTTAAGGTAAAGTTTTACTCTTCATCTATCTATCTATCTATCTATCTATCTATCTATCTATCTATCTATCTATCTATATGCTTGTTTATTGTTTATGCTAAAGCTGAACACCATTAAATATCCCTCCTGTGAAACTCGACTAATTTTCATTATCAGGCTAACTTAGCTAGCAGCTTTATTAGCTATAATGACCACTACAACTATATTAAACCATTTCATTCCTAACTTTCAGCCTTTACATCTTGGATAGTCTCAGACAGAAAGGAACTGTGGCTTCTTCTAAAAATCTTTTGGTAAAGTTAATAAAAATACATATGTGACCAGTGGAAAATAACAATCCAGCTGACATCATGAGTAGAAACTAATCAATTACCTTCATTGCAGTTTATTTACCACTAAAGAAATAGTTGGTCCATAATTTCCTGCTTGAGAGACCTCAAAACCACTAAACCACTGGTCAAATCTGTGACGGGGTGGTGTAACAAAAACAATGTCGTACTTCTTATTCGATTATAGTTACGTTTAATGTTGTGGAACGTCCTCAGAACAGGTTAGTTCCTGTTATCACTTACATTACAGCAGCTATAAACAGTCATTTCCTCACCATCCTGTTTTTTTATTTCTCTCTCCTGACATTAATAAGACAACAACAACAAAAAAACATGGTCATGTGACCAAGAAACCGTAAAGCACAAACTCCTCCATCCTGTAGAGGAAAACTTACTGCCTGTTACAAAGCTCTGACACTGGAGACTCCTTCCACAAATGTTAAAAAAAAAAACACCTTACAGAAAGCTTCACCATAATCAACATTTATATATTTTTGTT